ATCAAATAAACTAAAAATTATGGTAGCACCGAAGAATCACAGTGTAAGTAATTTCAATGTCATGAACATCATTTTCTGAAGTTTACCTGCTAATCTTTCCATTTAGGAAGCATAAATATTGTGAGTCCATTTCACATGCTTTGGTGCAAATGACACTGACAACTGGCAAAAGATTATCAAAAAGGGAGTGATTTTACAAACTGTTGCTCTCTCCTTGTCCCTTCTCACGGATTTTCTCTAGTTTTGCTTTTTTTTAGTGTCCTTATCACTACTGGTAGCATAAACAAATGCTACAAGCACATTCATGTTGCAAAAGGCACACCAGTTTGTGTACATTCTCTTTGTTTCCATACAGTAGGTGAGTGGTCCTGTTTCAACTGGTGTTATAGTCAACATACTGGGAGGAAAGCAGGTGGTGTTTTATCCATAGTTAACTGATTAAAGTTCCCAGAGATTAACACAAGCACCTCGGGATTCTGCAACAGTGGAGTGGATGACATTACTCACAGTCTCTGAGTCAGATTGGAGGAATGTAAACAATTACAACAATATTCAATTCAATTTTAATTCAATTTTACTTGTATAGTGCCAAATCACAGCCACAGTCACCTCAGGGCACTTTATGTCACTGAGGAAGCCAAGAGAGAGGTACAACAGTGTGTGTGAATTCTCTGGGAAATAATAGGGACACTGATTTACAGCCAGAAAGTCAGTGTTTGCACACCCAAACATGCTGTTGCAAGAAGGTCTGCTGTGAGTCCCAGGCACAGTCTCAAGAGTGTGTAGAAGATACCAGGAGAAAGGCTGTTACCTGAGAAGAGCATCAACACACCATCAACAACCTTTATTTTCCTGATGAAAACAAGATGATAACTTAAATAAAACCTAATGCACGAGGAACAAATCTATGATGAAATGTACTGACACTTTAATAAACAATAAAATAAAAATAAAAAGAACTAATCTCCTTGTGCAGTAAGGTTAGATGTGCACATTTAATCTGCTGCTGTTAAAGCAGAAGGGAGGGAAGATTTAAAGTCAATGTTTGGTATGACTTCAGTCTTCTGGAAAGGTTCTCCAGATTTCCTAAAGAACATTCAAAGCTAATTTTTTTAGGTGTTAACTTTACAGATGGCTGTAGACACTCATTGTTGCACCTCTCTCTTGGCCTCTTCAGTGATATGCTTCTGTGTTGTTTTCTTTTTAGAATGAAGCCAAACAATAAATCTTGATAAGATTGAGTTATTTCTGGTAATGACAAAGATACAAGTGGATTTTACCCATTTGCATACTGATTAAACTGTGGGGTGGCTGTAGCTCAGGTGGCAGAGCAGGTCAGCCACTAAACAGAAGGTTGGTGGTTTGATCCCAGGCTGCATCCTGACTGCATGCCAAATGTCCTTGGGCAAGATACTAACACCGTGTTTGCCTACTGGTGGTGGTCAGAGGGCCCGGTGGCGCCTGTGTCCGGCAGCCTCGCCTCTGTCAGTGCGCCCCAGGGCAGCTGTGGCTACAATGTAGCTTGCTATCGCCAGTGTGTGAATGTGTGTGTGAATGGGTGAATGACTGAATGTAGTGTAAAGCGCTTTGGGGTCCTATGGACTAGAAAAGCGCTATACAAATGCAGGCCATTTACCATTTACCATTTAAACTTGTAAAGGATCGCTGTGTGGCAGGCAGGAGATTGGACCCAAAATGGAAGACACACAACACATGGGAAATACAGCTTTATTTGGTGACTCAAGGAAAAGATACAAACCTAAACACAGAGAGGGACACAAGGGAAGACACAGCATGAAGGAGGATGCAACACTGACACAGAGAAACACAGGGCTTAAATACACTGGGGAATAACGAGGGGAATGAGACACGGGAGGAGAGCACAGCTGAGACAAATCAGACATGACGAGACAAGGAAGCAAAGCAGAATACACTTACATGAGACACAAACCTTCAAAGTAAAACAGGAAGTACACAGAGACAGCCTGGAGGGAGAAAGAGAACATGGGGGAGCACATGACGGGATGAGGAAACACAGAACTCATGGAGTGGGAACAAAGCACAATACTCACATCACTATATCCACTTAGACACACAGAGGGAGACGGGGAGGTCATCTACGCAGAGGGAAACCTATTAAATACACAGGAAACTAAACAGAGAAAACAGGAAACCTAAGAACACTGGACACTATGGAATAAACTAAGATACAAAGAGAACCTTAAACATCAAACATAATACAAAAGACACAAGGAACTCAAAATGCTGGGTCGAGAGACCCAGGATTCTGACAAAACTGGGGTAACTGCCATAGCTGGACTGGCCATCGGGCATACCGGGCATTTGCCCCGTGGGCCGCTGGTGATTTTTCGTTTTTATGGGCTGATGTTTTGTTTTTTTTGTTTTTTTTTTGTTTTTTTTCCCCCGTATAAACACTGAAAGCTGGTGGATTGGCCAGATGCTGGGAGATGTGTAAAAATAACTCAATTGTTTGGTGGTGGCTATTGTGGAGCTTCCACAGATTCAGTAACATTAGCAAGTGGTGGAGGCCAGCAGATGCAACACGCTGGCAGGTGGATGATGGAAAGGCGGGAGGAGCAGAGACCTGAGACGGTGAACTGAACTTCAGGTAAGAAGTTATGACCTGCAGTCTATCTGGGTCAGATATAAACCAAGTTTAGGTGGAGTTTATTTTCTTTTTTTTCTTTTTTTTTTGGCCTGTCCCGTTTGGCTCTTTTGCCATCAGAATTGTTGTCTAAAGGCAAAGAAAGATGCCCAACGGATTTACTTTACCAAACTGACCATCCAGCCTTGCCGTAATGGTCCATTTGATTCACCTTTTATTGTTTATTTTATTTTCACTTACTGAATACGGGACAGACTTGACTGGGGGAAAGAAGGGGAGAAAGAAAGAGGGAAAGAGAAACAGCTGAGAAGAGGGACGGGGGAGAAGGGCAAAAAACATAATCCAACAGAACGGGCAGAGAAAAAAAAAATGCATATATCGATCACCTGGATCACCTGCTGAGAAAGAAAAAAGAAAGCAAGCAGAAGAGAACAAGAGTAATAGAATAAACAACATCACAATGATATATGGGAATATGACAGTAAATACTAAATGTTAAACATTATTGTGCAGCACATAAGATCAACAGAACACAGTGTGCTTTGAGGTAGGAGCCAAAAAGGGTGTAGTTTGTGGGTGTGATCACCCGTGTGTACACCTGTGAGCATGGACGCGCTTGTTTTTTGTTTTTTTAAAAGGTTCCTTCATGTAATAATCTGCTAGAGGGTGTGGGGGGCCACAGCCCCGTCCTCCAGGGCGTGAAGCAGGTGTGGAGGAGATCAAAACTCCAGACATCCAGAGGCCCCCAGAACACAAGAGACCAAGGAAGACCAACAGAGGGGCAGCTGCGCCACTGTCCCGGAAAGAGCTGAGGAGAGTCCCAGATGAGGGTGGAGTTTATTTTCGTTATGCTGACTTTTTACAGTCAGTTACAATAACTTGTACTGTGTACTAACTAGCATGACAGAGTTTCTATACAGCTGGGCGGGTGCTTTGATGTTACTGATGTTGAACTTGTTTTATCTTATTTTGTTCATAAGGTTAGTTAGTAGAGTTGCCAACCATCCCGTAAAAAACGGAATCGTCTCGTATTCAGAGAAAATATTGCGCGTTTGGTATTGAGGTGAAAAGGAACCCAGTTTGTCCTGTACTTCAGCTACAATGAAAAAGACACAAAACTGGAGTTATTCTGTGTCTTTGCTGCACAGCTGCCTCTTCTTCATTCATTCTCCCCCCTCCCTCTCCTGTTTCTGCTTCAATCATGAAACTGATCAATGATCAGCTGATCGGCTTTTCTCTCTTGTTTGTTTATCACCCACTTTGCGCCAGAACGGGGAAACCGGCGGATGTCGCGCTAAACAACAGCAGCACGTTTAAGCTTAATCAGCTGTTGTTAGAATTTATTTAATATTAATTTCTAGTATCAGCTGATGTTTGCTGGAGCCACAGCTGTAAAAGCTGCTGGTCATGATGTCTGGATATCTGGTGAGAGGGAAACATGAAGATGAAACCAGGAGATGTCCTTACTGGATCATCAGAGCTGAACAGGTGATGGAGAAACAGGTTTACCTTTTAGGTGACATGAATGAGTTGAAGGGAAGTTAGGAACTGTTTCTGAGACACAAATAACACCAGGATCCTTTTTTTATGTAGCTGACAGCTGGTAACTGTGCAGGGGCGGGTCTAGCAAAGTTTTGCCAAGGGGGCCAGGTAGGGCATTAACAGGGAGAGGGGGGCACAAGGAAATACTTTTCTTTCTTATTCTCATTTAAAATATCTCGCTTTTAACAAATAATTATCTGAATCTTACAACCAATGTTTTCATCTGATGTAAAATGTATAGAAATCCATTATTGTACATAGTAATTTTTTTAGGGTCCCATCATAATTTCTTCAGAAGTAGCTAAGTACTGTATATGATGCCAGTATTTTCCCACATTTTCTAGATACTGTACCAGTACTGTATGTAAAATGCCATCAAAAAGTCAATTAGTTTTATTCTTTCTCACCTGTCTTTCTATCTCCTTTCACTTTTTAAAGGTTGCCATGTTAGAAAAAATATTTTGCCCTGCCATGCTGTTTATTGATGTGGCAAATGAATAGTTTATGAAAATATATCTAAATCTGTCATCAGTAATCAGTAATGATCATGTCTCACCTCTAGTCTTCTCTGTTTTAATTTCAGGTTTTCACCATGTGTAGATAGTTCAGGTGGTTAACTCGACCAAGCAGTCTACTTTCGGGTACTGTTTAGAATACCAGAATAGGAGGATGGTGTAGGTTTAAGTTTAAGATACATATATACCAACAAGACAGTGTACATCACTGTGACAACAGCGTTTGTTTTCATTCAAAGGATTTATGGTTTTTCCTATAATACCTGGTGGGCCGGTCTCTAGTCAAAATGCCTGGGCCGATTTTTTGTGCAGTCCAGCCCTGGTAACTGCTGTCGCAGGGCATGTGCTTACATGTTTTGTCACATGCCTCGCAACCCCAGAGACACACAGTGGATTTACTGATTATGAATTTTCATTATAACTTTTCATTCCTTTTAATTTAGAGCAGTGTTAATAACTTATGTACCAACAAAAGTCTTTGCGATGAGTAAATATCCCCTTGCCAGATGCCAATTGTTGATTCCAGATTCATGAAAATCAAGTTTCTAGAAATTTTGTGACTTTTGCAAAAACGCATAAAGACAGATAGCATAAACAGTGAAGGTTTACATGTACAGTTCAGTTTCTAAGGGCAGTTTATCCGTGTTGCACAAACAGAAGGTAAATTGAGAGAACACTGCTGATCATTCCACTTATTTAAGTCACCGATACTGTGAACACAGTGTTCAGTTTTTCCTCCAAGTCCGTTGTTTGGCTCACCAGCATTCCAGTGGGTGAAACTCACTGCACAACCATCAGACCACATCCATCTGCCTTCTTTATGGAGGTCACTCAGTCCAATCCAGGTGTATCGCTGAGCATGGTCAAAGTTCTTAATTAATGATTTAACAAACTCCTCTTCCTCCTGGCTGTAGATAGACACCAGGTTGGCTCGCTGTGACACACAGTAGAGCTCTGCATCAGCCCAGCTCATGTGTGTGGCCACATATTTGTAGCAGCGGCCATTGAAACTGTACCAGAACGGGGGACAGCTTCCACGCAGTAGTTTAACTCTGTGGTCATCTGAAGAAGACACAGCTGTCAGAACTTAATGAAAAACAAACAATAACTGTTTTTGTCAGTATAGCTGAATTTTTTTTTTTGATGTACCCACTAAAGAATATGAGAAAAGCACATCTGCATAGTTGACAGTGAAAGTTAAAACGTGGAGATAAGTAAGTTGCTTTTTTATGTTTACAAGCAGGTCTTTATCATAACTCTACAGTATAGTAGGACCCATCTGACATGGAGAAAAAATCTATGTTACAATGAAACACCAAGAATTTTGAATCGCTGACTGCTGAAACAGACACAGATGAAAATTTTAGTGTTTGACTAAAATCAAATTAAAGCCAGAAATAAAAAATCAAATTCCAAACACTTGAAGAAATGTTGTTTGTTTTTTGATGTATAATTTATATTTATTGTATCATAAAGGCGTCGTCAGCACAATGACTAATCAAACAGGACAGGTCAGAGCTCTAACAGGTAAAAACTCCTGAACTCCTGAAAGGTAGAAGCTAACACAGTTAAGCATCAAAAGGAAAATATGATTTCCATCCACTTAACCTGAAGTGTTGACAGATGGAGATTATTTATAGTGACAAAGTCAAAGATGAAAGTTGAAATACACAGAGAGCAAAGTGGCTCTTGTGTTTATTAGCAGGTCTTTATCATAACTCTATGATTTAGGAGAAACCATCTAGTATGGGAAGAAAAAAAATCCATATTATAATCCTGCAATAATCATTTTTGTATCACAGTATCTGCTGAAACAAAAAACATCAGAAACATAAAAAAACATATTCTTGGAGTGTTTAACTAAAAGGTGCTAAAATTACAAAAAAAACATAAATAAAGGTCAAAGTAAATAAAGAAAAGATTAGCCAGAGTACAGGACAGTTACCACATTGTAGCGTCACTTCATTGCCATCAGAAGGAGACTCAGAAGGAGCACCCAGAGCCAGACTGAACAAGAAGAGGAGCAAGATCATGTTGGAGCTTTAAGTCTCAAAGTGTGATGAAGAGCTGCTGAAGCTTCTTTGTACAGGATTTCTGCAGAGAGTTTGTCCTGCTTTCTTTTATAGCTGCCTGAGAGGGTGTTTTCACTGATCAATGTGATATCATTGGCCAAATGGAACAAAACTTTCCACTGTAAACATCACTAACACCGGGCAGTAAAGACCATCAGATTCTAAGAAAATTAATAATTGCTAAACAGCCACGTCCTCCTGGCAGACTCAGAGGAATGTGACTGTTTTTGCTGTAATTCTGCATTTATGATGTGATCAAAGTCCTTTTCAGCATAATGATTAAACAAACAGGAAAGCTTGTAGTAACAGAATGATAATAAACAAAGACTGAAAAAATACTCAACGTTAAAGAGGACTCCGCACCCAGAGTCGCCCAAACAAGAAGAGGAGCAAGATCATGTTGAAGCTTTAAGTCTCAAAGATGATGAGGAGCTGCTGAAGCTTCTTCCTACAGGATGTTCAGATTCCTGCAGAGAGTTGGAGCTGCGTTCTTTTATAGCTGCCTGAGAGGGTGTTTTCACTGCTGGTGTGACATCACTGGCCAGATTGACCAAAACGCTCAACTGTACACAAAACTAAACATAAGCCAGAAAAAAAATCAAATTCCAAAGACATGAAGAAATATTGTTTGTTTTTTGATGTATAATTTATATTTATTGTACCATAAAGGTGTTATCAGCACAATGACTAATCAAACCAGAGCGTTCTCACTCCCGAGGCGTAACATGTCGACGTTTTGTCACGTCCCGCGTTTTGTCACATCTCCTTTCGCGTCCTGAGGAACGCGAAAGGAGACCTTCGGCGTTCTTATGGTACACGGCGGGTTATGGCTGGAATCCAGTGCAATGACGCTCCCGCGGTAGTAGACGTTCCAGCCCTGTATTCCAGCCCTAAACCTAACCTTATCCCTAGCCCTGACCATAACCTTATTCCTGACCGTAACCAGGACTTTAATGATGTTAAATAGCGTGTTTCTAAGCGATTTGAAGAAAAAGAGCGAACATGTGTAGATTCAGTCCAGACGGTTCTCATATTTCCTGTTTTTTCCGAGGTCGTCATTTAGGAACGTGGTGGGTAGGCGAAAACGTAATATGGTGACGATTTGTTGCCTAGTGTAAAATGTTACGCTTTGGGAGTGAGAACGGGTTGATCAAACAGGACAGGTCAGCCCAGCACAGTTCATTAGTATAAACTAGTTTAGCCTGAACAAAACTGCCTGTTGTAGTATTTTCATGCAACCTCTGAATAACAAAAAATTTCATTTGTTTCTTCAGTTTGTTTTTCAAGGCATTTCAGAAGAACATAGTTCAGCAGCACAGATAAGCGAGCCGTCAGATGTCTTTATTTTCTTGTTGCTCTATTAGTGAACTCAACACCAGACTGCAGTACATGATAATTTAACTGATTCCCAGTAACACACATTCATCTGCCTATCAGATTTAACTGCTCATTAATCGAAGGAACCAGAATACAGTTCAGGATCCTTCCAGCCCACTTTAACTCCTGGTTATGGTTAAAGACTCTCTTTCCACCTCCAGAGTCTCCGATATTGGGTGTAAATCTATTGCTCTAATGCTCTTAAGAAAAAAAAAAGAAAAGATAAGAAAGAATCCATAGATGCACGTATATAAAATAATAATAATTATAACTACAGAAGTTAATTAGTTAAATGAGAGAAAGTCACTGGGAATATTTAACATAACCTTGAAAAGGCCATAGTTGGACATCTGTTGTATTATAAAAGGCATTATCAGCATAATGATTAATCACACTTACAGGTCAGAGGTAGAACAATAACCTACATAGCAAAATTGGTATGGCCCAGATCTGGCCCACACAATGTGCTTACACATGGCCCACATACCGCAAAGAATGACGGCCCTTTGGTGGCCCACACATGGGCCAGTTGCAGACACACTGGTGGTACTTTGCTGGCCCATGTGTGGCTTACCAATGGCAAACCTGGTTTGGACCAGGCCGCATTCACCCAATCAGACACTTTCTCTTAACTGAGTGCTTCCTAACTACATACACATTAACACTCACACTCTCGACATGCAGACTGGAGAAGCCAGGGATCGAATCATTAACCTTCCGATCAATAGGTGAGCTGCTCCACCACCTGAGCTACAGCCACCCACTGGCAAAGGTAAGTAAACCCTCACTAGATTTTGGGATAAAGTGTAAACTCACAAACCTGTCAAACCTGAATTTGAAACATTGGCTACTATAGAAGTATAGTATTGCAACATGGCATTTGGATCTTCTAACTAAAATAGAAAAATAGGAACATAAATAGTGCATCATTGCCAGACCTGGCCCATATCTGGTTAACATACACCCTACCATCACACCAGTCAGCCAGAAGTGCTAGCTTGATGCCAGATCTGGGCCATACCTCTTTTCTATGACCCTAGGCCACATAAACTAAACCACAATTGAGCCAGATGTGGCATACCATGACATAGACGGTGCCATCTATGCCAGGCCTGGCCCATATCTGGATGACATATGTCTTGTCATGCCAGAAGTCAGTCAGCAGTGCCGGCTTGATACCAGATCCGGGCCATACCTGCTTGCTATGTGGGAAGAGAAAAGGAGAAACTGCTGAGCTGCTCCAGTAAACAAAGACTGAATAAACCCCCCTCCTCCTCTCCATGCAAGAAGATTCCTTCCTTCCTTTCAGAGAACCCACTTCTACACTTCTCAAAATAAACAAATTAAACAAAATAAAATTTATGCTAGCAGTGAAGAATCACATGTATAAGTAATTTCAATGTCACAAACATCAGTTCCTAAAGATTATCTGCTAATCTGTCAATTTAGGAAGCATGAATCTTGTGAATCCATTTCACATGACTTTGGCGCAAATGAAATTGACAACTGGAAAAAGATCATCGAGGAGTGATTTTACAAACCGTTGCTCTCTTCTTGTCCCTTCCCTTGTCCCAGAGGGCATCCTAGAACAGAGCTGGCCCTTCGGATCACCCTGTCTCTGCTGGGGACAGGAAGAGACTGAACAGGGTGATCCGAAGGGCCAGCTCTGTTCTAGGATGCCCTCTGGACCCAGTGGAGGTGGTGAGTGACAGGAGAATGGCGGCTAAGCTGTCATCCCTGTTGGACAACGTCTCCCACCCCATGCAGCAGACTGTGACAGCACTGAGCAGCTCCTTCAGTGGGAGACTGCGGCACCCACGGTGTGGGACGGAGAGATTTCGCAGGTCTTTCCTCCCCACTGCTGTCAGACTCCACAATAAAGACTTTAACTGAACAAACACACACATCCACACATGTGCAATAACACTAGGTGCAATGATCTTTTCTGGCATCGTTGTATTTTTACTCAGTTGTATATAGCATTCGTGTTCTATTTTTGTCTTATTGTATATTTTTGTTCTGTTTTATTCTACTGTATATAGTATATTATTTTATTCTATTCTGTACAGCTGTGTACTGTATTTGTTCTTGTTGTGTTCTGGTTTTTGCGTCATGGCTTTTGCACTGTCCACTTCCTGCTGTGACAAAACAAATTTCCCACGTGTGGGACTAATAAAGGTTATCTTATCTTATCTTATCTTATCTTACTGATTTTCTCTAGTTTTGCTTTTAATTTTGGAGTCTTTATCACTACTGGCAGCTACAGTGGCTAACAGTGGCTAAAAGCCCATTTAGGTTGCAAAAGTAGACCAGTTGCTGTACACATACCATAAGTTTGCATACCGTAGGTAAGTGGTCCTCTTTGTATGTTTCCTGAAGAACAGTCAAACCTCTTCTTTGGATGTTAGCTTTACAGGCTGTGGCTGTAGACACTCACTGCTGTACCTCTCTCCTCACCTCCTCAGTGATATACTTCTCTGTGTGTGTTTTGGGATAAAGCCAAACAACAGATCCTAACTAGATTTTTCCATTTGTTTCCTTTTGTAATACTTAGTGTTTGTCAACTACTACAGATGAAATGTGGTAACTGATGTCTCGTAACCCCAGAGATACACAATGGAGGCACTGATCATGAATTTTCATTTATAGCTTTTCATTCCTTTTTACTTTAGAGCAGTTTTTAACCATTTATCTTTGCTTTCGTCTTTGCTTTCGTAAATTTTGACATTGAAACGATGAGTAAATATTCCCTTTGAGTGCAGCTGCCAGTGGTTGTTTCCACATTTATGAAAATCGACGTCCGTGGAATTTTGTGACTTTTGCAAAAACACACTAAAGACAGACAGCATCAACAGTGCAGGGAAAATGTAAATTGTAGTTTCTGAGTGCAGTTTATCCATACTGCACAAACAGAAGGTAAAATGACAGAACATGGGCAGTCATTCCACTTCTTTGCATCAGTTATTTGGTTGTCCTGCATCCCAGTAGACAAAATCTACTGCACAACCATCAGACCACATCCAGCTGCCTTCTTTATGGAGGTCAGTAAGGTTTTGAGGAAAAAAACTTTTTTTTTATAACACAATCTTTAAAGGGTGTTCAAAGATTTTATTTATTCATCTCGGAGTTGAAGTGATTGACTGTTCATGTAAATGGACTGGTTCTTACAGAACACTTTACACAACTTGTTTATTCACCCAATCACACAAGCACTTTTTCCTAAGTTGTTACTAACTAACATTCACACCGCATTCACAGTCTGATGGATACATCAGAGAGCAACATGGGGTTAGTATCTTGCCCAAGAATATTTGACATGTAGACTGGAGCAGACTAGGATTGAACCACCAACCTTCCAGTTAGTAGGTGACCTGAGCTACAGCTAACAAAACATTTGTCATGTTTCTACAAATATGGAAAATTTATTGTTAAAATCAATTCTGGGAAGATTAGTGAGGAGGTGTATTTTCTGCATTCATCCCTATCTAAAGTATTAAATGTGTGCTGATGAAACATGCAAGCGCATGTCTGTGACACCAGATATGTGCTTGAATGTTTTTTCATGGGCCCTGTAACCCCAGAGTTTCTAAGGGCAGGTTATCTGCGTTGCACAAACAGAAGC